TTTGGATAAGTACACGTAAGTGGCATCATCTCACCAGGCCATCCTGGGTGGGGGCAGCAGGGTGTTCAAACAGGATGTTGCCGGTGGGATCTGTGAACCGAACCCGGCTGGGGCGGTCCAGCCTGTGAAGAAAGGTCCAGTGAGACTGGATCCAGAACCCGCAGTCTTCCCCCTTTCATGCCCCCATTCACTACTCCTAGCCGCGCTGCTCTTTCCCTGGTCTCACCGCTGGTAGGAGATAGAGAAGCGAAGACTTGAGCGCAGGAGAGAGACTCGAGCGCGAGCTACCGCCTGCGACCTCGGTCCTGTCAGCAGCGCCACAAAATCTGTGAGAAGAGAGGATGGCCTAAGCACTGTCAACCCTTGCCGCTGGCCCCAAACTTCGTCAGGCCCACTTCCACCCCAGCCTACCCGTGTGGCCATCAGCACGTGTCCGCTCGCCAGCGCCGGGATCCCCTCGATCGCTGTAACTGCGGTGCTCTGGGTCCCTTGGATACTCGAAGACTAGGCCAGCTGGCTGTCGGTCCAAATTGCTGCGCTCTGCGTTGGGGGGGGTAAGGAATAAGACCACTAGATTCAGCAGGGTACCAGGAGGGCCAGTCCTCCTCAGCGATCCAAGCCGCACAGAACCAAGTGTTGAGCCTTCCACCCTCCCTAACACGGGAGACAGTGGGCCTCACCCTGCGGGCAGGTCTGGCAGCAGTGTCCTGGCAGCTGGCGCGGCTGCCTGCAGGCCAGGGTGGGGCACTGGGGTTTGATGTTCTTGCAGCTGACCCTGCCAGGGCCCCTCCCACGGCGAGCCCACTGAGGCTGATGGCAGAGAACACAGGGAAATTAAGTGAGTGTAACGTGCAACCATCAGACGCCAGGGTAAGGTCCTCTGCTGGAATCAGTCAGCTCCGCTATTTACAAGTTACATGACCCTGGACAAGTTTCTTAACTTCTCTAAGTCTGCAAAGTAAGGCTAATTAATGCCATTTATCTAGCAAGGTTGCAATGGGATGGGGGAAGTTGGCTAAAAGCCAGTCACATAGTGGGCGATCAATAACTGTCAACACCGCAGACTTGAAAGGGGTTTCCCCAGATTTGAGGACCAGCCTTCCCCTGAGCATCTCCGAGGCTACTACGGCTTAGGACGCC